CAGCACTTTGGTTGAGGCGAGGCGTGGTGATCACGAGTAAGGGAGGATTGGAGATCTCCTGGCTAACACCAGTGCAACCCGTCTCTACTAAAAATCCAAAAATTAGCTTGGGCAGGTGGTGGGTGCCGTGTAGTCCCAGGGCTACTAGGGAGGCTGAGGGTAGGAGAATGGCGTGAACCCGGGAGGCGGAAGCTTGTTGTGTGTTTGTGTATTGGTCATTCTCATTCGGCTAATCATGCGTGCTGTAACTTCAAAAAAATAAAATAAAAATGACAGGCATTGTTAATGTTGTCATGTCTGTTTTTGTGTGTGTGTGTGCTTTTTATGTTTGGCATGATTTGGAAAAAACTCCTCTATACATGTCTAAATCAGTATGTGTATGTTAGCCTTGTTGTTTGTATTGTTTTTGTTTTTCTTTGTTTTTGTTGGTTGTTATGTTCTAGTTATGTATGAAATTAAGATTGTTATGTTGTTTGTTGGTGTGTATGTTTGTTGTTTTGTTTGTGTTATGTGTGTTGTGTTCACTGTGTGTTGTGTATGTGTACTAGCTCTGTAAAATGGTGAAACACTTTTTCTTCTTATAAATACTTTATATGTATCTGGTTTTTGGTGTTTGTGGTTTGTTGTGTTTGTTATGTGTCGTGGTTTGTGTTGGAAATTGCTTTTTGTATTGTGGTTAGGCGTGAGGCTGATTGTGTAGCCAATTATTATGTCTCCTGCTCATATGACTGTGTGTGTCTTAGTGTATATTGTGTTCCCTCTGTAAACAAAATTTATACAATACATGTGTATAAGTATTATTTATTGTGTGTGTTTGTTTTTTCACACCCCACTGATCTTATTGTAACCATGTCATTGCTGAGCTGTGTTTTTTGTGTGTTGTTTGGTCTTATATGTTGTGTCTGTATGTTCTTTTTTTTTGTGTTGTGCATTGTTGTGTGTCAGGTGATCTGGAGATGGATTCCTAGTTGTTGTTGTTTGTGTATTTATGTGTTGTTATTTGTGTATGTTTTTTATTATGTTTTTGTTTTTTTATTTTTTTTTTGTTTTATTTATTTTGTGTTGTTGTTTTTTTGCTTTTTTATTTTTTATTTCTTTTTCTTGTTGTGTTGTTCTATGGTCTATTGTTGTTTGTTGTATTTGAGTGTGTGTTATCTTTTAGCCTAGTTACTAGGCTTCACTCTTTGAACATGGCTTGTGGGAGGGTAGGTTTCGGTCTGGGCGCTCCTGGGTGGCCACGGTGCTTTAATCCCAGCACTTTAGGGCAAGCCGAGGCGAGTGGATGAGTCACCATTGTCGAGCCTGACCAAGGATGGTGAAACCCGTTCTCTACTAAAAAAGCAAATTAGCCGGGCACCGGTGGCATGGCTGGGCTTGGGGGGCTGGAGGCAGGAGATCACTTGAACCAGGCGGCAGAGGTTGCAGTGGCAGATCAAGCACTGCACTCCGGCCTGGGCAACGGAGCGAGATCCTTAGGGTCTCAATATGAAATATAAAAAATGTGCCGGGCGCGGTGGCTCTTTCGCTTTAGTGATGGTCGAGGGCAGTGTGGATCACAAGGTCAGTGAGTCGAGATGTGTGTGTGTGTCCCATTCTACTAAAATACAAAAAAAATTAGCCGGGCATGTGTGTGTGTGTGTGTTGTAGTCTGCGGGTGGGGGCAGATCACTTGAGTCCAGGAGTTCAAGACCAGCCTGGGCAACACGGCAAAACCCTATCTCTACAAAAACTACAAATATTAGCCTGACGTGGTGGCACAGGCCTGTAGTCACAGCTACTCAGGAGGCTGAGGAAGGAGGATGGTTTGAACCCTGGAGGTTGAGGTTGCAATGAGTCATGATCATGCCATTGTACTCAGCCTGGGTGACAGAGTGAGACTCTGTCAAGAAGAAGAAGAAGAGGAAGAAGAGGAAGAGGAAGAAATTCACAAGAAAGAGTACCACTATTTATAAAAGAAATAGCAAAAAGTAGCTGCTGGTTTTATTTAAGCTTTGGTTTTTTTCTTTTTAGACGGAGTCTCACTCTGTTGCCACGCCTGGAGTGCAGTGGCGCAGTCTGGGCTTACTGCAATTTCCGTCTCCTGGGTTCAAGTGATTCCCGTGCCTCAGCCTCCCAAGTAGCTGGTACTACAGGCATGCACCACCACGCCTGGCTAATTTTTTGTTTTGTTTTGTTTTTGTTTTTTGTATTTTAGTGGAAATGGGATTTCACCATGTTGGCCAGAATGATCTCGAACTCCTGACCTTGTGATCCGCCCACCTTGACTTCCCAAAGTGTTGCGATTACAGGCGTGAGCCACCACACCTGGCCCTATTTAAGCTTTTACTTAACCTTGGTAATTTTATGTTGACAACCTACAAATGTTGATAAAGTTATTGCTACTCCTGCCAACTGAGGCTTTTTCATCCTGTTGGTCCCTTTCTTCTTCCCAGACTTGATCCTGAAAGATGTTGTCATTAAATGTTCCCTAAGAACCCACTTTCATATATGGTCTCAAACACAGACCATGTTAATGAACATTTCTCCTGTTCATTAACTCCTTTCTTCTGCCAGTTTACCCTTGCTTTCAAAGAACTATCAATTAAGCAATTGTTTGTTGCTTCTCTTCCCATTTTCTTTACTTCTTTATCTCATTGCTTCCCACTGTGTAGAATACATAGCACTGAAGATATACAAGATGATTTTAGGTAGTAGATGGAAAACCAATTTTACCTTTTACATATTTACTTGAAATTAGATGAATAAAAAATATAAGTAGTACAGTACATCAGTACATCTGTAATTTCTAGGGTATTATAGTTTCCTTTCTAAATACAGCATGGATTTTTTTTTTTTTTTTTTTTTTTTTTGAGTCAGGGTCTCCCTCTGTTGACCAGGCTGGGGTGCAGTGGTGCAATCTGGGCTCACTGCAACCTCCTGCCTATTCCCAGATCAAGCAAATTCTCCTCCTCAGTCCTCCCCAAGTAGCTGGACTACAGGTTGAGTGCCACATGCCGGGCTCTTTTTTTTTTTTTTTTTTGTATTTTTAGTAGAAACAGGGTTTTGCCATGCTGGCCAGGCTGGTCTCAAATTTTTTGGCCTCAAGTGATCCACCCGCCTCAGCCTCCCAGAAGTGCTGGGATTACAGGCATGAGCCACTGCACCTGGCTTTAAATAATGGATTTTTTAAAGTAGATAAATAATAATACAGGTGCTTGACACACAGCAAAAAGTACCAAGGTGGTATGTAAAATGACTGAAATATAAGAAATACTGCTAGGTGCAGTGGCTCACGCCTGTAATCCCAGCGCTTTGGGAGGCCGAGGTGTGTGGATCACTTGAGTCCAGGAGTTCAAGACCAGCCTGGACAACATGGTAAAACCCCATCTGTACTAAAAAAACACAAAAATTAGCCGGGTGTGGTGACAGACAGTTGTCATTAAATGTTCCCTAAGAACCCACTTTCAT